GCAGGCTCAGGCAATCCACTCACCTCAGCCTCCCAAAGGCGCGGGATTACAGGTTGAGCCACCGAGCCCGGCTTGGGCAAGCTTTTTAACCTCATTTGCTTCATTTGTAAAATAAGGATGAGTCTAGTTCACATGATTTTGTGGAAATTAAGTGAGAAATTCGTATGGTCATGTAGCAAAGTGTCATAGCACTAAGTAAACTCCAACTGATATTATGAAGGGGAAGTTTAACGCAGAGTTAACAGCATGAACTGTGGGACCAGAACACTGACTCTGACAGTTCTTACCTGTGTGATCTTGGACAAGTAACTTCATCTCCCTGTGCTACAACATTTTCATCTGTAAAAATGGGAATAATAAGATACAAGTTTCCTAGAGTTGTTATGAACATTTACTGAGTTCTTACCTGCAAAGTACTTAGGATGGTGGTAGCAGGAAGGCAGAGTTTGCTATTACAGCTGCAGTGATCTCCCTAAGTTCAAGTTAGTGTACAGGCAGAGATGCTATAGGTTCAGATCTAGACCATTGCAATAAAGGGAATATTGCAATAAAGTTAGTCACATGAAGTTTTTGGTTTCTTTATGTATACAAAAGTTATTTTTATATTACTGTAGTCTGCTAAGTGTGAAATAGCATCATGTCTAAAAAATGTACATACCTTAATGAAAAAATACTTTATTGCTAAAAACAACAACCACAATAACAAAAATACTGATAATACTCTGAGCATTCAGCGAGTCGTAACATTTTTGCTGGTGAAGGGTCTTGCCTTGATGTTGAGGGCCTTGCTCTGGATTAGGCTTTGGTTTAAGGGAATGTTGTGGCTGGTTTATCTTCTATCCAGGCCACTTAAACTTTCTCCATATGAGAAATAAGGCTGTCTCACGTTCTCATTCGTGTGTCCACTGGAGTAGCAAATGTGATAAAAACTCTCCTCCCATTCTCTTCTTTCCTCTAGTGATATCTAAATTTTACCTTCCCTTTGCCTTGAAGCTAAACCAAAACCACTGAGTGCTATAATTTCCAACACTAAGTTTTTTTTTAACAAACTAAATGAACTTTCTCATAACATTCTCTTTTTTCTACCTCTTCTTCTAAGACATCTCCTGATACATCCCACAGTTTTGAAATTCTTTTTCAGAGAAGAACACAAAGTGAACAGTGTAACATTAAATAATTACTTTTGCAATTTTCTTTTTATCCAAAGGCTGATGAGGAATGTCCATATCAGGCTTCACACAAAATCCAAAGGAAATGATGCCAGTGCTCCATTTAGCTTGCTACCGAGAAGCACTGAAAAATTGGAGTTTGGGGTTTGTTTTTTGTTTTTTCGTTTTAGAGACTGGGCCTCTCTCTGTTGCCCAGGCTGGAGTGTAGTGGCTATTCACAGGTATAGTAATGGTGCAGTACAGCCTCAAACTGCTGGTCTCAAGAAATCCTCCCATCTAAGCCTCTCTAGTAGCTGGGACTACAAGTGCCCAAACCATGCCCAGATCATTGTTATTTTAATCTAAGCAAGTTCCTCATTCTGCTTATGAAAGCCATTCTCTGTGGATAGAACTGTAGCCACTGTATGCACATATGTTTCTAGATTGGCACTGTATTTCCAACCTATGTGTGAGATTCTCACCTTTCATGGCTACTTCTATTTTTCCTCTCAAACTATTAACAACAATTCTTCAGGTTGAATGCATTATTTTTCTGGCTTATTGTCAGTCACATGATGCATGAAGACATTTTTTCCTTCTTAACATATACTTTCTTAATTCCATAAAATTGATGATTTTACCATTTGTTTTTCTCCCACCTAAACTGGAATCCTGAGTAAATGCAGACCACCCTTTCTTTCCAGCTTCAAATGTTCTTCCGATGCAATGGACAATTTGTACGTTTTTTCTTCCATGTCACTGGGGACAATGTCTGTCACTCTGGGATTCAGACCTATGTCAACTAGTTTATTACTTGTCTGAGAGGGCCTGAGTTTCATTTCTAAGTCAGAGAGGTTCAGACAGAGAATCTATACCTATTCTCCAAATATCCACTTTGGCAAGTGGCACATATTTTCCATGAGGAAGAACTGATTGCCCATGTTAGTAAGACTTGGTGATGTTTTGAATACTCAGCAGGCTACTATGAACAAATGGGCAAATTGTGTGATGCAAACCCCAGGGGACAACAGTCACCCAGGATACAATGTAAGTAGTATCCTCTTGGACTTAAGCAGTGCACATCCTGCTCAACCATACATAGCAACCCTTCAGTAGGAAACTTATTTTACTCTAATGTAAATAGTTTTCTATATCTTTAGTAGATTCTTTATCTTGCCTGAATATTGTCATCATGGTCTTGTAAATTAAAAATCAGTGATACAGGCTGTTCATCTGCCTATTTCTTCAGGCTGCTTTCTTAAGAAAGTAAAGATATTGAACGCGGCGCCGACTCCCGGGATTTGTGCGTGTGCTTCTTAACCCGGCTCGGGCCTACACACGAGCAACCATGTCTAAGGGGCCTGCAGTTGGTATTGATCTCGGCACCACCTACTCCTGTGTGGGTGTTTTCCAACACGGAAAAGTAGAGATAATTGCCAATGATCAGGGAAACCGAACCACTCCGAGTTACGTCGCCTTTACTGATACCGAACGATTGATCGGCGATGCCGCAAAGAATCAAGTTGCGATGAACCCCACCAACACGGTTTTCGATGCCAAACGTCTGATTGGACGCAGATTTGATGATGCTGTTGTCCAGTCTGATATGAAGCATTGGCCGTTCATGGTTGTGAATGATGCAGGCAGGCCCAAGGTACAAGTAGAATACAAGGGAGAGACAAAAAGCTTCTATCCAGAGGAGGTGTCATCTATGGTTCTGACAAAGATGAAGGAAATTGCTGAGGCCTATCTTGGGAAGACTGTTACCAATGCTGTGGTCACAGTGCCGGCTTACTTTAATGACTCTCAGCGGCAGGCTACCAAAGATGCTGGAACTATTGCTGGCCTCAATGTACTTAGAATTATCAATGAGCCAACGGCTGCTGCAATTGCTTATGGCTTAGACAAAAAGGTTGGAGCTGAAAGAAATGTGCTGATCTTTGACCTAGGAGGTGGCACTTTTGATGTGTCAATCCTCACTATTGAGGATGGAATCTTCGAAGTCAAGTCTACGGCTGGAGACACCCACTTAGGTGGAGAAGACTTTGACAACCGAATGGTCAACCATTTCATTGCTGAGTTT